GGCGGGCGGCTGCTGGGTCTCGGCCTCGCTGCTCATAGTTGCGGTGATGGTGACTGGGGCCGGCTGCGGCAGCTGCGGCTCCTCCCGGGGTGTGATGGTAACTAGGCCGGCGGCGGCGGTGGGGCTGCTCAGGGCTCTCTGCGGTCCGCTCTCCGCTCCCGCTACCGATCGAACTAGCGAGAATGGCGGGACAGGCGGGATAAGCCCTGCGATAGACCCGCCCTCAGCTTTCCTCACTGGTCACCAGTGCTGCCAATCTCACCACCTGACCCCAAGCTCTAGTTTCTATTGGGTAATCTTTTATCACTCCTCCACTCTTATTGGCCCTTTAGGCAGCTAATTCGGCCGACCTACAACCGTTCCTGCCTCCGCCGCCATAGAGACCGGAACTAGAATTAGAGTAGTCACCACGAGAACCATAGAGTACTCGAGAAGGGGAGCAGAGCGAACGTGACTTTCACGAGGCTGCAGCCTGTGTGTGCTGGGGCCCTGGGTTCAAGGTTGTGTTCAGAGCCTAGGGGAAGGCTTTGCCGACCACTGGGCTCGAGATTACGGTTTGACCCAAGGCTTTGACAGACAGGCAACCTCCTTCCTTGCTCCAAAGGCCTTTACCGCGGGAACACTCGGCCGTCTTTTCTGTAATGGCAGTGTCTTCGCCTCACTGCCCAGGGTTTCTGGAGCTGCCTAACATTTGCTATCGAAGAGCGGTACAGTCACCTTGGAGGGTCCCCGTAGGCGCCCGGACCCCCTGGGCTCAACGTGTGTGCAGGGCGGGGGTGCGTGTGCTCTGGGGGGAACTGTCTCCCGATCCTACCTAGCAGGCATGTAAGGGCCGTGTCTGCCTTAAGCATTCACCTCGTTTTGTATTGGCCACAAATCAGATTTGGTTTCAACTCACGTTTTATTGGGCAAGGTAGTTTTTTTGTCTATCTCTTCATCAGCTATGTGAGGTAAGGATGGCTAATCCGTCTTAGACTCGGCAAAATTGAGCCTGCCACCTGATGTGACTCAAGTCCTCCACCTACCTCCATTCATTATTAGGCATTTACTATTGATTGAGGATGGAATAGTTTGCGACTCAGTTTCTGCCATCTGATGGCAGGAATTAAAACACTCAACGCTCCATATCTGCATAAGCACAAAGCGTTTTGGGAGTGGAAGCAGGGAGAAAGGAGTGTTGATTTTTCAGGCAAAGAGAGGTTTGTTTCTCCTTTCTAGACCCAAAAAGAGACAGGGCCTCGGGAAATGCAAATAAGTTGTTGGTAACAGTGGAAGGAAACATTGGGTTATAAAAGATGGGCAGGTCAACTAGGAACTTTTAATTTGAAACTTTCGAGACTACCATTAAGGAGGGTGATTTTAGTATTATAGGTAAGGAGTGGCATTTTTCTTTTTAAAAAATGGCTGCTGTGTGGAGAATGGATTGTGGAGAGGGAAGGAATGAAAAGAGAAATCAGTTAAGTGGCTAGTGTATCTGTTCTTGGTCCTGTGATTTCACCAAGGCTTTGCATTCCTTTTTTTTTTCTTTAGTGCAGTCCCGGGGCTTGAACTCAGGGCTGGGATGCTGTCCCTGAGCTACTTATTATTTTAGGTCTGAGACTGGAACTTGAACTCTGTGCCTGAGGCACTTTTACTCATTGCCTAGCACTCTACCAACAGCCACACCTCCAACCGGGTCCCTGAGCTTTTATGCTCAAGACTACCAGCTTTACCATTTGAGCTGTAACTCCACTTTCGGGCTTTTTTCTTTCTTTTCTTTCTTTCTTTCTCTTCTTCTTCTTCTTCTTTGTGTGTGTGTGTGTGTGTGTGTGTGTGTGTGGTTAGTTGAAGATAAGAATCTCATGGACTTTCCTGAGCTGACTGGCTTTGAGCTGTGATGCTCAGAGCTCAGCCTCCTGAGTAGTTAGGATTTACAGGCGTGAGCACAGCCTATTCTGTCCTGAAAAGTCTGAATGCAGTCCAGTCTCATTCTTTTGCAATGTTCTAGATCATCACCAACTTTTTTTTTGTTGTTGTCGGTCATGGGGTTTGAACCCTGGGCTTGAGCGCTGTCCCTCAGCTCTTCAGCTTAAGGTGAGTGCTCTACCGCTTGAGCCACAGCACCACTTCTAGTTTTCTAGTGGTTTATTGGAGATAAGAGTCTTACAGACTTTCCTGCCTGGGCTGGCTTTGGACCTTGATCCTCAGATCTCAGCCTCCTGAGTAGCTAGGATTACAGGCTTGAGCCACCGGCCCGGTGCATCACCAACTATTTAAAGCCTGAAAACAGTGTATCTTTGTTATAAAGAAAAGTTACCATGGACACTGAAATAGGAATTTCATGTACTTTTTATATATCACAAAGTTTTCTTTTTAACTCCTTAACACTTAAAATCCATTCTTATCCTCTGGCATATGAACCATGGAAAAGCAGGAAGATCTGCATAGCCAGCTGCAATTTCTTGATCCTTGGCTTAAAACACTGCTGGACTCTCCTGTCTCTTACTTCTTTCTCAATCTAATATTTCCCACAACAGCCAGTGTTGTTTTAAACATTAGATTTATATCTGCCAGGAACCACCATTACTCTTAGGACATACCTAACTTCCTTGATCCTGAGGTCCTTTTATGACTTTCTGGAAGCCACTCCCCACTCTTCTTCCACATTCCTTGCCCACTTTTCCAGGAGACCTCTCCTCCCCCTCACCCATTGCTCCCTTTGGACTGTTCCATACTATTCTCTGTAACATTTCCTTTCCATTCTCCCTTGTTGCTAAAATTTTTAGGTCTATCACTAGTTTATGAGTCCCTCTCATTTTCAGGCCTCTAAACCTTCCTCGTTCCTTGAACATATAGTGTGTAACATGTAATATTTCAACACATGTGTTAAATGACAGTGCAGAAAGGTTATTTGGGAAGGTGTGCTAGTAATCCCTGTGAAAAAGCTTATAGTGGTTTTATATATATAGAAAAGCAGGTAGATTCCAGTGCTGCTATTTACCTATTTAAAAAAAAAAACATTTTTTTTCGTTGGTCATGGACTTGAAGTCTGGGTCTGGGCTCTGTCCCTCAGCTCTTCAGGTCAAGGCTAGCGCTCTACTACCTGAGCCAGAGCATAACTTCTAGGTTTCTGGTGGTTTATTGGAGAGTAGAGTCTCACAGACTTTCCTGCCCTGGCTAGCTCTGAAGCTTGATCCTCAGATCTCAGTCTCCTGAGTAACTAGGATTACAGGCATGAACCACCAATACCCACATCCAGATAACTTTTTATTTATTTATTTTGGGGGGGGGTGGTCGTGGGGCCTGAACTCTGGGCTTGGGCATTGTCCCTCAGCTCTTCAGCTCAAGGCTAGCGCTCTACCACTTGAGCCACAGCGCCACTTCCAGTTTTCTAGTGGTTTATTGGAGAGTAGAGTCTCACAGACTTTCCTGCCCTGGCTAGCTCTGAACTGTGATCCTCAGCTCTCAGCCTCCTGAGTAACTAGGATTACAGGCATGAACCACCAATACCCACATCCAGATAACTTTTTATTTTTTTTTTTGGGGGGGTGGTCGTGGGGCCTGAACTCTGGGCCTGGGCGCTGTCCCTCAGCTCTTCAGCTCAAGGCTAGCACTCTACCACTTGAGCCACAGCGCCACTTCCGGCTTTTTTCTTTTTGCTTATGTGGTGCTGAGGAATCGAACCCAGGGCCTCAAGCATGTAAGGCAAGCACTCTACCACTGAGCCACCTTCCCCGCCCCTAGGAGGCATTTGTATTTAAGAATTCCTGCCAGGTGCTGGAGGCTCACGCCTATAATCCTAGCTACTCAGGAGGCTGAGATCTGAGGATCTCAGTTCTAAGCCAGCCCAGGCAGGAAACTCCATGAGACTCTTATCTCCAATAAAGCACTAGAAAACCAGAAGTTGCACTGTGGCTCAAGCAGTAGAGTGCTTGCCTTGAGCTGAAGAGCACAGGGACAGTGCCTAAGCTCAGAGTTCAAGCCCCATGACCAACCAAAAAAAGAGAATTCCTAAGTTTTTAGGCATGAAATGTCAAGAAGTATGTAATTTTAGCCGGGCGCTGGTGGCTCACGCCTGTAATCCTAGCTACTCAGGAGGTTGAGATCTGAGAATCGCGGTTCAAAGCCAGCCCGGGTAGGAGAGACTGTGAGACTCCTATCTCCAATAAACCACCAGAAAACCGGAAGTGGCGCTGTAGCTCAAGTG